GAAATATTAAATCACATTCAGTTTAGTTTTAGTATATAAGGAATTTTACAATACTTTAGTTCTTTTAAAATCTATAGTCTAGGTATGATATTTACAATAAGAATATCCAATTCTCTGGTCTAACCCTCTGTTTCCTCATCTGCAAAATGGGAGCAATAATAGTAAATAACAAATAACTTGTTAAGAAGATGAGGGCAAATCCCTTAGCAGAGAATTTGACACATGGAGAGCACTATAATATTTTTTAAATGCTGCTTCCACTGCTATTACGCTACTCAGCCTACATAAGTGTTTGTAGTGTATCCCTTAAGAATATACATAGTCATGTGGCTAGGAAAAAAATCAGAAAGTTAAACATATAAAGGCAAATAATTCTTAATCAGGTAATCCAGCTTTTAAAATTCAGATAAATTCTGTCCAAGTGGATTGCTGATCCAAAAAGCCTGGGCTCACTATACTCTCTGTCATCCTGGCTGGGGTGTGGAAGGCTTTCCAGAGGAGGCAGAATATAAATGAGCCAGCTAAAAACAGGTAGATCTCCCCAAACCTGCTTGTGCATGTGCAAATTTTGATCATGAGCTATAATAAAACTTTAATAAAAATGTGTTCTAATATCTTTACTAAAATTATGAGGAAAAAAATCCCACCATCCCTCCCCTTATCCAGTACAACTTGTTTCTATTAAGGCCATAACTGGGCTTATTTCCCTAGTATTGTACATGCTGTTATATAAAGATGATGGAAAGTTAAATTCTGTAAAATTTATATCTAATCTAGAATATATTTTTAATTTCAAAAGGCTACTTCTATTTTTGGTTGATGATATGATGATATGAGCACCATTTTCTTAATCTTTCTTGACTAGGTTATGCAAAATTAACTTTGATTTGCTCCAATGGAAGACATTTCAAGCTAAAAACTACTCATCTGGCATCTTACAGACTGATCATTTTAATGACAAGCTCCTTTTTTAAAAAATGAAACTATTGCACTTATGAGTTTATGTCATATGGCTTTAAACATCTTTAAAATACCATGTAGGAAAGTAGCAGCTCTTTATAAAGAGACCATCTGATATATCCCATTAGCACACATTTCATTAAAATTTAATCTTTCCCAGTTCTTCATAGTTTTTCTTATTTCCACTTATCCTGGAAAATGCCATCTAATCACAAATATACATTTTGAGGCATCTTCTTCAGGTTTTAAATCATAGTATTTTTGCAAATCAGCATACAAATTTATTTAAATGACATTTTCTGGAATAGTGTAAGAAAACTATGAAATATATTTAAGTTAAATTCAAAATGGATCCTCTCTTCTCTCTTTGAATTTGTTTTACTAGGTTCATAGAAATTAAATTGTTTCTATTTGTGTAAACAGCTCTTTAACAATAAAGTGCCATACAAGTTAAATAATTATTTTCTTAGTTCTGTGTTCATATTGCTTAGCTTAGCTCCCAAAATGCCGATTTCTTTTCTTCTTCTTTTTTTTAGTATACATACATGTATTTATGTTATATATATATACATAAATATATATATGTTTCTGTTGTATCTATAATTAAAAATTATATTGTACTTTTTGGGGGGAAACAGTGAAAATGAAATTCTATATCCACTACACTCTTTGATTACTTTTCCTCTTTGCTATCTGTTCTTCGCTTCTCATTGTTATATTTTCTTTTGTTATTGTTTATTGCAGAGGAGGTGTCTGCAAGGATAGTTCAAGTAGTCACGGCTGAGGCTGTAGCAGTCCTGAAGGGTGAACAAGAAAAAGAAGCTCAGCATAAAGATCAGCCTGCAGCTCTGCCTTTAGGTAAATGAGAAGAGCCTCAGGTCAGGTGGCTGTGTCTACTTCACCCTGATCACAGGATACAGTCTTCATGTTCCAAAGATAAGCCATATCTTGTACTTCGTCTTTACACATAGCATTCATCAAACTCCTCTATGGAATGCACCGGGACCCACTTTCGCCATCTGCAACTGGTTCATTGTGATATTTGGGTAGTCTTTAGTTAGGGTGGTAAGCTTCCAGTTAGACTTTTCCATGAGTGGGCCCTTAATATTTCATTTTCCAGATCACTGGAGATAGTTATTATAAAAATAAAGCCAATGCATTTTTATTTAATGAATCCCACCCATAAGGAAAATGTACTAAAACTTTAATTAGAGATGATTGTTTCCCTTTATGGATTTTGGTGAATGATTATCTATACTATAGTCTTGTTTGGACCTTCCTGACTTGGCTACACAAGACCTATAACCAGAGCTTTGTTATAATCATCTGACTTTGTATTCCATGTGAGGTACTGACCTTTTCCTGGTTCACCTAAGGGCTCTGAGATAGCACTGCCCTCTCCCTTGGTCACCCTCCAGGGCCAGACAAGTAATGTAACACATATTTGCCAAGGTAAACACTCTCAGCCGAGGGCTTGCTGCTCCTACTCAACAGATGATAGATAGATAGATAGACAGACAAATAGATGTATATGAATATACATGAAGAGATATAAGAAAGGAGATGGTCTTAAATCCAACAGATATGTTTGCTTTACAGATACATATATCTGATCCATAGAAAGGTATAGTGTCTAAGGTCTAAAAATACCACATATCCATTTTCCTCTCTTATAGTCTAATACATTCTTAATATTTGATTTTATGTTTGGTACCCCTTTGTCTGTTAAAAAGTAAGTAATAAAAATAGTCTTCCCTCCCAGAATAATA